CCAGGGTCTTCCCTTCCGAGCCGCGTGCTTTGACGGGGCTGTCTCCATTTCCGCGTTGCAGTGGCTCTGCTACGAGGACAGCAAGGCTCAGTCGGCCAATGCCCGCTTGATGCGCTTCTTTGCCTCCCTCTACACAGTCCTACGCCGGGGGGCCAGGGCGGCTTTACAGTTCTATCCGGGTACAGTTGTCCTCCCTTTTCCTTAGTCTTTTTGTTCCTTGGTCCTTCCCTCCCCGACCCTGCCCGGGCTGCACTTTTGCACGCTGGTGGTGTTTCAACCGTATGTATTACATGAGACTATCTGGCTGTGCACTTGGGTCAGAAACTTCCCAGAGGGTCCTTTAGGACCGGCTTGTCTTGATCGAGCACATCATGGACACAATTGTCGGGCGTGGCCCATCGCCTATCCCTCACTTTGTCTCCCCTCATCCATCCGCCGTCCCTTGTCGTGTCAGAGAATTCCGAGCAAGTGCTCCTCATCACCCAAGCGGCCACCCGCGTGGGATTCCAAGGAGGGCTTGTAGTCGATTACCCCAACAGTAGCAAAGCCAAAAAGTACTATTTGTGTCTCTCCTTTGAGCACAGCTACAGGGTGCCGCAAGCACTTGGTCGGGAAGAGGGAGGTCGGGCGTTGACGAGTGTGGGTGTCACTGAAAGGGAGAGGGTGAAGCCGCGAGGGAGGAAGAAGGGGGGAAAGCGGGAGCAGGTCAAAAGCCGGGAGTGGGTGCTGGCCAAGAAGGAAAAACAGAGGCGAAAGGGACTGGATGTACGCGAGGACAGTAAATATACGGCACGGAAACGAAAAGATCGATTGTAATAGGTGAAACGCAGCCGTAGGTCGTGGAGGGAGGAGGTTAAGACTGTACAAAAGCAATAAATTTTGTGCGCCCCGCTGGAACATTTGACGCCTATGTCGAAGTCTTGATCTATGTTTCTCTTCCTTCGACGGTTGTTGACATGAATACGATAATAAGTTTGAGAGAAGTCCTTGATTTTGGTCGAGCGACTTGGAGCCGCTTCTAGGGGAGGCCGATATGCTGGAGAGGCCGAGAGGAGTTGCTCACACGATACACCGCCGCGAATCAGCCTTACTCTTGTCTTAAAAAGCACCAGAATAAGGCGGCATTGACATACGTTTGCAATGGTCAAATCATTCTTTTCTCTCTTCTCCCTGTTTTACCATCGCTTTTCTTTAGGAAGCCACAGGGCGAGGCCCGTTCCGTACCAATGAAGGTCGCTGCAGCGTGCCAACGCCTAAGACACGATCCCCGCCGGTACGCACGGCTCCGGCAATTATGCATCCCCCGTGCCACGCATGGCACACCACTACGGAATTTTTTCAGTTTCGGAAAGGAGGAAAGAGCCAACGAGAGGGGGGGGCGTCGTGGCGCCTCAGTGCCCCCTCGCCCTCCCATGGCGCCAGGACACGTCTCCCCTCGTCGGGCACTGCCTGCCAATAGCCCTGTAGTCAAACCGAACTACGCCGATACGGGCAAGCTGCCGCCTCCCTCCCCTTCCATTCTCCTGCACACCCCTGAAAGTATCGAGAAAATGCGGGCTGCGGGTCGATTGGCCCGGAAAATGCTGGATTACACATGCTCGCTCGTGCGGCCGGGCATCACCACGGAAGAAATCGACAGGCGCGTGCATGACGCCATTCTTGCCTCGGGCGCTTATCCGTCCCCCCTCAATTATTGGGGCTTCCCCAAGTCGATTTGCTCCTCCATCAATGAAGTGGTGATCCACGGGATCCCTGACGACCGCCCTCTCCAAGAGGGAGACATCGCCAAATTCGACATCTCCCTCTACTTCCAGGGCGTGCACGGGGACAACTGCGCCTCCGTGGGTGTGGGAGAGGTGGATGCGGAGGGTTTGCGGCTCATGACCGCGGCGAAGGAAGCTTTACAAGCTGGGATCGACGCTTGTGGACCGGGAGCCTGCCTGAGTGGCATTGGGTCTGCCGTGCACGCCGTGGCCGACAAGTATGAATACGAGACGGTGCGTGCCTATAGTGGGCACGGAGTGGGCCCGGATTTGCACATGCGCCCTTTTGTTTTGCACTACCGGAACGGGGAACGCTTGCCCCTTCGTCCGGGTATGATTTTCACGATCGAACCCATGCTGTTGGAGCATGGCCCGGAGATCACCACATGGGCGGACGGATGGACAGTCGTAAGCAAGGACGGCGGGAGGGGTGCCCAATTTGAGCACACGGTACTAATTACGGAGGATGGGGTGGAGGTGTTGACGCTTCCTGAGTGAGGGCGGGGAGGTGGGGGAGGGGGCAGGCCCCTGCTTTTCCCCATGGCGGGTCGAAGTGAAGAACGACGGATGTACATATCAACGTCGCGGGAATTTTTTTGAGTTTCAACTCCAGGCAGCATAATCCTAGCATAGCAACGTCACGGCATGCATCTTCATTTCCTTTAATGTCAATTTCTAGTGCATTTCCCCTGGCAGCATGACCCCAACATAGCAACATCACGGCATGCATCTTTATTTTCTTTCATTCCAATTTCTAGTGCACCTTCCCAGGCAGCATTTCTTCTCATTTCTATGTATC